GGGGGCCTTGTCAATATACTATGTGTAAATTGTATGAACATGTAGAACGCATTTACAGAAGAAGAGTATTGAACAGTTTCTTCACCCAAAGTCATTTTGATTGGGGACTTTAATGCCCAGACATATAGTCTATGCGAGTACGAAATTCTTTACGAATACATAATTGAAGTATTTCATTTGAATATTGATAAAATCAGATCAGAGCTTAACCCTGAATCTGTGTTTCATGAAGTTGGGTTGCCACGCGTGAGAGCAGGACAAAACACAAGACAAAACAAGAATAAATAACTTTAGCTTTAAACCTATTAAAATCAGTAAAAAATGAAATCTGTTTATTGGTAAAGGAAATGATAAAATGATAGGTAAAACTGCTTGTAAAGATAAAAGTGTCTGACTCTAATATAATTGACTACTAACTTCTCTATTCAGACGTGCACCGCCCACTCACCTTTACATTTAGTGCAGGCAAAACTTCTGTAATTAATACATGTTGGTTGGTTGGTTGTTTAACCCCGCACTATATGACTGCGGTCTGTAAATAATCGAGTCTGGACCAGACAGTCCAGCGATTGAAATCATGAACATCGATCCACGCAATTAAGGTACGATGACATGAATCAACCAAGACAGCAAACCTGACCACCCGATCTCGTTAGTCGCTTTTTACGGCAAGCATGGCTTGGTGAAGACCTATTCTTTCCCGGATCTTCATACGTCAATTAATAAACTGGGCGGCAAAAGAAAGTATAGGTCGAGTTCCATGACCTATGGTTTTGCCACTTGGCTATCCCACCGTCTCAATGAGCCAAGACAACAGTATGAATCAGGTTTTAAGTGTCCTTTTCGGAAAAAAATATGAGGATTTATATCTACTTTTTTCTACGTTTTTGCTTGACGTTTACCTTTGAATGAGCCAAGTGTTGCTGCTCTATTTTAATTGCTATTCGGCAGCTTTTGAGTATTTTTAGCTCACCTGGTTAGAAGGACCAACGTGAGCTAATGCCATACCGTGGCGTCTTTCGAAACTAACGAAATTTGACTGGAAGCATCCCCAGGTGGTGGGTATTCAAAATTATACAAATGGCCAGACTATGAAAGTGATGGACGGAATGTGTTTTCTAAACATGCAACCTCGAAATATTTAACAGAGGCTACGGGTTTTGTGATTATATCCATACAATCTAGGCCATCTGGAAGCCATTCCATATCAGTTTTAAAATTTTGAACCGAGAATACGTCAAAATATGTTTGGACGCATAGTCGCCAGTTTGAAACAAGTATCGTAAAGCTCGAGAAAGCTGCCTTCTGATTGGCTAATGTCGATTTCTTGTCAGTCATTTCATGATCGGTCAAAGTTCGCGAGAGGTCGTTCTGACTTGACCCGTAATGGGATGTCCTCAGATCTTTGTTTCGTGTTAGCAAATACTAGGATCTGATTTTAATGAGATTGGTGACCGACTGAATATTTTATTTATTAACAAGTGATGACTTCCATGACGCCGAATGTACACTTACCCCAGCTAATTATTACTGCTTTGTCCATTTGAATTTTATTTCGTATCAACTATCATATAATTGGTAGAGTAGGAATGTAAGGGGGAAGTTGGGTGATTTTATAAAACTGGTTCCATGGTTGGTACCCCACGCAAGCTTAGCACAATTAAGTTTAGGTAGACAGGAACCTGGTCTAATGATTTCATGTTAGTCTGCCATCTCGATCCAATCTGAGTAAACAAAGAAAAAGGTAAATTCCAGAGCTCGAGATGAGCTGTGTATTTGCGTAAAATACGCATTAAATAAACTGAATTACGGAGACAAATCAAATCCACGAGTATCAAATATGCAATAAAAACTATAAAGATGCTCTTTAAATAAAATGTATGCTTATATTGTAACTATTAGATAAAACGATTGTATATGTTACAACTGTTAGATAACATGATTGTATGTCAGCCGATCGCCAAATTCACTTAACGTCCGTTACATTCGAAAAAGCTTTTGCGACAAACAAACTGATAGATGCCAAATGAAAAGCACATCGTGCCTCGTCAGTGTACATTACACACATTGTATCTTAAAACTTGTGGAAACGCAATCAACATTAGCCGCTGGATGCCGATATTTCTTGTCTGACGCACATTTTCCTAAGATCGGAAAAGTGAAGGTTGTGCGACAATTGCGCTCATGCGGGACTGGATCTACCTCCGGCTATAAGATTACGCAGAGTATTTAATTTCCTATCTGATGGTGTAAATTTAACTGCAGATATTACGCCGGTTTGAACAAAAGATTCTGCTAAGTGTTGTCCGAAAATTTAATCAGGAAATTTCGCAGCTTTTTATCGTACGCTGGTAAAAGTACTGTGCAACGATTTTTTTTTATTTAGCAGCTTTACAGAAACTGTGAGCGAACAAAATTCTGCCTAATATCTGAACGACATAAATATATATCAAATGGAGTTATATGTGTATGTATAACGACATACATTTAATGCAATTGAAATAGCCAGCCGTAAATGACGAAAAATGATTTTTCTCTATGACATCAAAAGGTGGCAGAGAGGTTACGCACGTAGAAGAAAATGGGGCATAACTCAGCTATGCTTTGTTCCAGTTTATTTAAACTCAGGTCACCTGGTGAGAATTAGCTGTGGGTAAGGACAGTATATTTTCATGGTATTTTGTTCACGAGTAACCTAACTATTCCAATACAAATATCGATATTGAAACTGTATACTCCCTTATATTACCGTAAGAAATGATGAAAATGTACTTCATAAAAAAAAAGCAATAGCAAAATGAATGGCCCTATCAAAGCTGTAAATTAGTCCTTAGATTACAACTTTCTTCTGACTGTGCAAGTGTAATTTGGCTTATGTTGCACCATTATTAATGGAGCACTAGCCTTGTGATGTAATGAAATACTAAAACAATGACACCATTCTATTTGATGTTATGGCTGGTTTTATGTCTTTGACAACGTCTGAGAAAGACGACACTGGTATTTTGATTAATATATATAGCTCCTCAAATTACTTTTTACAATTCTGGGAGAAATAAAGTAAACAGTTTAATGTCCTGTGATCACAATATTTAGAAAAAAGATGAACCTTTTGAACATATAATGCAAAACGAGAGAAATTATTCGTTAATTAATGTGACAACGCGCACCTGCGAATCGTTAGACATCACTGTCATGCATATCAAAGGACCTAAAAAACAATTCCAGGACCAAGACAATTCTCCTGGAAATGTGTGCGTATAATTTAACGAAACATATTATCCATTTGGTTAAAGTAATGTATTCAGTTTTAGTTTTAAAATAAAATGAAACGGCTATTCATGGAATTTGTTTGTATGAACTTATAATATTGACTATTACACTCCCGAAAAATACGTACATGTTGCAGTTACATATACATTTCACCTTGTAACACTTGTCCAAAGGAAAGACATATCGTATATATACGACACTATAAACTTATCAATTTCTTATGTAAACAATGTTCAAACAAACACGAGATTACCAAAGGTTCATTCATACATGTTGTGGCCTATATTTACGCATGATATCATATTGAACACTGACAAATATCCAAAGTGAAATTAATTGTGTGGAAATATGTATAAGAGATATGCAAAATCTACATCACACTTGAAACTGTACACAACAGGATACAATGATCGTGTGTGTTTTTATTCAAGGACCTTCATCTTAAAGAAATTACCAAATATGTACAACAATGTTGACTTATGACATCACTACCGGTGACTGACTTTTACAAAATGACGTGTTCACAGTCAACTGTACGCGGGATTGTACGAGGTGACTTTCGTTGATTCAGGGTTCGTATATACATACATGTGACATGTAAGTAATCAGACACATTCTGACAATCTGTTTACTGCTATTTGTTGTTATATTTTGATTGAACCCAACGGAAAAACTCAGAAATTCCGATAAATACCGTTGTCGTTGTGTGTGATTTTGCGTCAGTCATGGCGTCACACAGGACGGTAGCTTTGACAATTTCTGTGTATTGGTGACGGAGACCATGTGTCATTTGATTCTAAAATGTATGAGGAATTCAAGGATGTTTGTATCGCAGCTGAGTTTGAAATACGCGTAATGTTACAGGCGTCTCATTGCCGGTACATGTGAAATGTGATTTTGTAAACACTATCTAATATGGCGGAAAGTTCACAGTATACAAAAGTGTGAATTGTATCTGCGTGTCTGATGTATTTTGAATTTTATTCGACTTCAAAGTGAGGTTTGAAGAGGAGAGACATATATGTCCCTTTGTCATCCTGCCCCTGTTTAAAAAAACAACAACAAATAACCAAAACCCTATCTATAGCTCTGAATTCATCAGGGAAATCTGGTCAATCGTAAGACGAGAGTGTAAAGAAGGTGTCACGAGCTTGATTAAAATGGGAGAGAGAAAATATATATATCTCGCCAATCAGAAATATTTCTTTTTAAATTTAAGCAGTAATAATATGCAATACATCTCCATAGAAACAGATGTATATTTTACCTTTGTTAAACTATTTCGCCCAGATGAGGCCTGTCCTGTACTTGCATAAGTCCTGAAGCCAGCATTGTGCCGCCCTGTGAATTACCGATATGGTATTTAGCAGAGAAAACAGCCGGCAGCTTTGGTGTTTAAACCTTAGCCGGAATGCCGTGACGTCATCGACAGTGTGACGTCAGTGTCATTGTACATTTGACGCCACGTCAGCTTGGCGAACCTCGGCTCGGTCTGGGGTCACCGAGTGCAGCGAGATGTAAACAAACATTTTGTTTTGTGCTTCACGATTAATTACATATTTATGACGTAAAACTAACACAGACATTTATAACGACATGCATGAACATTTCACGAGGTGCGGTGCTTACATACAATTCACACATCATCTCTATTTACACTTAGTTAACAATTTTCTTACCTGATCATGCGAAGTTCCAAACACAACAAATGACAAAATGTCTGAAACAGTTTTTACAAGTTTTATTCATCTCCAAAAACAACAAACAGTTTCACGTAAATGAAGACATATTTATACACGACGACGTAAACGGCACACCACGTCACTGTCAGCGTCCTCCTCAACCGTCTACACAAACACGACACAGACGTCACTGAGCGCCGTGGGACACGAGCAGATCCAAAACTGGCGTATGTCCCATGCGTCTCGCCACGTCGGCCGCTGTCCGCCCCGAGTTGTTCCTGGCGTCGATGTCCACCATGTTCAGTGACAGCACAAACTTCACCGTCTCCAAGTGTCCTCTATAACAGGCGAGGTGAAGGGTGTTGTCACCGTCCTCGTCCACCAGTGACACATCGGCCCCTTTACTCACCAGGAGTTCCACCACGTCTCTGTGTCGCCTCAATGCTGCCCTCATCACCGGTGTCCTGCTCCCCCATCCTCTACTGTTGATGTCCACCACGTTCAGTGACAGCACAAACTTCACCGTCGCCAAGTGTCCTGCCCTACAGGCCCAGTGAAGGATGTTGTCACCGTTCACGTCCACCAGTGACACATCGGCCCCTTTACTCACAAGCAGCTCCACCACGTCTCTGTGTCGCCACTCTGCCGCCGTCATCACCGGGGTCTGGCTCCCCCCTCCTCTACTGTTGATGTCCACCACGTTCAGAGACAGCACAAACTCCACCGTCTCCAAGTGCCCTCCCATACAGGCGAGGCGAAGGATGTTGTCACCGTCCTTGTCCACCAGTGACACATCGGCCCCTTTACTCACCAGGAGCTCCACCACGTCGCTGTGTCCCCACCGTGCTGCCGTCGTCACCGGTGTCCAGCTCCACTGTCCCCACCTACAGTTGACGTCGATGTCCCGCGACAGGACCCGCTTCACCTCCTCCAGGTTCCCCCTCCTGCTGGCGACATAGAGGTCCCTGCAATCTACTGGTGATGGAGTCGCTGTAACACAAAGTAAACTCTGTACACTTCCAGACATCTTCGTCATACATCTACATGGTTCACACCTCAACGTGGTGACACGTGACACGGTACGTCATCGACCACTTCCACCATGGCTGACAATACAAGGATCAGCTGGTTCATGTGATCAAGGATAACGTCGTCAATGTTTAAAATCGTTCTGTCACATCCAGTTGTTGTAACATCATTCTGTGTATGGCTGGAGAGTGTTAACGTTTAATGAACTGAGCTTTATAAGATGATACGGTCAGTAACGTTGCTGTTTTGAAATATTAGATAGATCTAATAAGACATGACATTGGAGTATGTCAGTCTGTTTGTTTGCAGTAGTCCAGCAATAAGATGGCGGAGTCGGATAAAGACAGACAGTCCAGTGGTTGACAACAGGAGCACCGAGCGACACACCTGGTATACGATGACATGCAAGAAGCAAGTCAAAACCCAGCGTGTTAATTGTTGGAGGAATTAAACTGTGGGCTTTCTACCTGCTGAGTTGTCCCCAGTGGTCCTTGTGGTCGTCACTGGTGTCCCCTCGGTCCGACTCGGATCACTCGAGGCTGAAACACAGAACATGTTGTTCAGAAAACAATACAAACCACACAAGCATTATACATACACGATATGGCCATTTGACAAATTGTATGTATTTGAATTTTTTACTGATTAGAACTAGATCTAATACAATTTTAAATACATTAATCTTAGTAGAGGTAAAACATTACTAAAAATATAAGGTAGTCTAGCGACTAACAAATCACTCAAACGACGATATAAATATACAACACAAACACTGAGATTGCTGTTCATATGAAGGTTTGTTGAGTGAACTTTCTGGCTTATATTTGTTACATGTTGATCTGACCTCATCTCCTACAAAGTTCTACAGTGACAGTATCTACCCTGTGTAGCAGGCTTTTTTGTGGTCACTGGTCTCCTCTCGGTCTGACTCGGGTCACTCGAGGCTGAAACACAAAATATGCTGTTCAGTGGGGTTTGGTGATTTGGGTTTTACACGCTCTTAGCAATATTCCAGCAATATGTGTGTGGGGGACATCAGATTTTGGCTTCACCCATTTTACCAATGTGGGGGAATAGATCCCGGGTTTTCGGCGTGAAGAGCGAATGCTTTAACCACTAGGCTACCCACAACCTCAATATAGGCCGTTAAGAAAACTGTATTTATTATATTGCAAATATTGCAGGTAAACAATATAACTACTGGCCTGAGAGAAGTTTTTGTCTTTCAGCAAATATGTGACTTTTAAATTTATTCACTGATGAACTTGATTTAAAATGCATTTGCTGTAGCAGAGGTATTATTAATAAAACGTAGCATGGTGACTGACAAAATCTGGAAATTGCTTATATGTTTTACATTAAGATTGCATTTAATCTACCCTGCGTTTCTTTAGGAAAAAAACACATTCTGAATTAGTCTAAGCTGCACACTTCCTCTGTGCTAACTTCAGAGATATATCTCTTCTCTTGTTTGAAATGTTTCAGGAACTAAATAGAATACAACATACAACACAAATGAACATTGCTACACCAGCGATAGCAATTGGCACTAGTCCTATACTCCTTGCCAAACATCCCAATAGTTCAGATATCATAACGACTAGGCTAGTCAACATGTCATTGTAAGGGGTTTATATGTTACCATAAGGCATTATAAGGACTCGAGGACTAAACATGTTAGTTTATATTGCTGTATACAGAAGAAAGACCAGATCTCAAATAGACTGAAACACAGAATATGTGCATTTATTATATTGGAACATCCGATGAAGGTATTAAAAAAGCTACCTACCCATAATTCCCAATTGTGGAATGATTAGTATCTGGCGTAAATTATTTGTTGTTCCGAGTGTATTTGCTTGATGTTTTAGTCCCCACCCTCTCCTATACAAACACTCACTTACTAGACACTGAACATATTACATTGTTTGATGTCTCGGATGATATTGTATTACAATCGTCGATATACAACATGCTATAGATTACTATTTCAGTGATGACATTTTCGTGATGATATACAATGAATGTAAAAGAGCAACATGTCTACTTCTCTAAGCGCGTGTGCAACACAGTGGTAATTCAGTGTCAGGAAAACTCTTTGCAACACTGTCATAATTCAGAATTCCGAGCGATGGCGGCAGTACGTCCATCACAGATCAGCTTACTATCTGAGACAGAAACTGTCACCGGCATGTTTGATACGCTGTTTGGATGTGTAAAGAAGGGAATAAACATGTGGCTCTATAAAGTGATAAGACCGAAATGCCGATTGCCCGTGTGAAAAACAGGGCTGGTGTATGATGTCTACTGTACAGTGTTAGAAGTGTTAATGCCACTTCCCGGTGTCATGAGAAACACATTGCTGGTGCATGATGTCTACTGTACAGTGTTAGAAGTGTTAATGACACTTCCCGCTGTCAATAGAAACACATTGCTGGTGCATGATGTCTACTGTACAGTGTTAGAAGTGTTAATGACACTTCCCGCTGTCAATAGAAACACATTGCTGGTGCATGATGTCTACTGTACAGTGTTAGAAGTGTTAATGACACTTCCCGCTGTCAATAGAAACACATTGCTGGTGTATGATAGCTGCTGTATAGTGTTAGAAGTGTTAATGACACTTCCCGCTGTCAATAGAAACACAGTGCTGGTGTATGATAGCTGCTGTATAGTGTTAGAAGTGTTAATGACACTTCCCGCTGTCATGAGAAACACAGTGCTGGTGTATGATGTCTACTGTATAGTGTTAGAAGTGTTAATGACACTTCCCGCTGTCAATAGAAACACATTGCTGGTGCATGATAGCTGCTGTATAGTGTTAGAAGTGTTAATGACACTTCCCACTGATATTAGAAACACAGGGCTGGTGTATGATACCTGCTGTACAGTGTTAGAAGTATTAATGATGCTTCACGCTGTCATTGGAAACACAGGGCTGGTGTATCATGTCTACTGTACAGTGTTAAAAGTGTTAATGACACTTCCTGCTGCCATTAGAAACACAGGACTGGTGTGTCATGTCTACTGTACAGTGTTAGAAGTGTCAGTGACACTTCTCGCTGCCATTAGAAACACAGGACTGGTGTGTCATGTCTACTGTACAGTGTTAGAAGTGTTAATGACACTTCTAACTGCCATTAGAAACACAGGACTCGTGTGCCATGTCTACTTACAGTGTTAGAAGTGTCAGTGACACTTCTCGCTGCCATTAGAAACACAGGACTGGTGTGTCATGTCTACTGTACAGTGTTAGAAGTGTTAATGACACTTCTCGCTGCCATTAGAAACACAGGACTCGTGTGTCATGTCTACTGTTCAGTGTTAGAAGTGTCAGTGTAACTTCTCACTGCCATTAGAAACACAGTGCTGGTGTATCATTTCTACTGTTCAGTGTTAGAAGTGTTAATGACACTCCCCGCTGCCATTAGAAACACAGGACTCGTGTGTCATGTCTACTTTACAGTGTAAGAAGTGTCAGTGATACTTCTCACTGCCATTAGAAACACAGGACTGGTGTATCGTGTTTATATTTCACAAGTTTAGAGGTACAATCAAGCAGGCTCTTTCTGCTAAGATTTCAAAGACCGTCATCTGACTCTTGCTCAGAAGTTGCTTAATCATGGTTACAGCATTCAAGGCCTCAGTGAAGTTTTCAAAAAGCTTGATGGTAAATATGCGGAGGACATATCCAAATCTGATGCGTCAGTGACAAAAATGATGTCCGCCACAAGTCCCCTATTTGACTCCCCTTTTCGCAAACATCTGGCATCATCACATGCTCATGACAGTTTTCAATGTTCCCAACAGATTATAGAAATCCAACCTTTCTGTTTCTGTTCCGCAAAGTCTTGGATGTCTTTCTCACGCAGCGCATCACGTTCCTCCAGTTCCTGTATCTGTAATGATGACATTTAAGTTTAGTCTGGTGGATCAATTTATTGACACACTCATAAACTAATCATGCTAATAACACAAATACAAAGAACATATCATAACGAAATCAGCAAACCTGGGAGTGAGTAAGGTTCTACGCTGCTTTTAGCAATATTCCAGCAATATCACGGCGGGGTACACCAGAAATGGGCTTCACACATCGTACCCATGTCGGGAATCGAACCTGGGTCTTCGGCGTGACGAGCGAACGCTTTAACCACCAGGCTACCGGACCGCAAAACTGGGACAACGGCCAATTATGTCATTTTGCGTTGTCACCATGGCAACCGAAACTTAGTCACAACGTTTGTAAAATTCGAAATATCGAAAGATTAAAAAAACAACAAAGCAACCTGAGTATTTAGGTTGAGTACTTGTATATACAGGAGTATTTACCTGACAGGTTTAGTATATGCAGGAGTATTTACCTGACAGGTTTAGTATATACAGGAGTATTTACCTGACAGGTTTAGTATATACAGGAGTATTTACCTGACAGGTTGAGTATATACAGGAGTATTTACCTGACAGGTTTAGTATATACAGGAGTATTTACCTGACATGTTTAGTATATGCAGGAGTATATACCAGACAGTTTGTATATATACAAGAGTATTTACCTGACAGTTTGAGTATATACAGGAGTATTTACCTGACAGGTTGAGTATATACAGGAGTATTTACCTGACAGGTTTAGTATATACAGGAGTATTTACCTGACAGGTTGAGTATATACAGGAGTATTTACCTGACAGGTTTAGTATATACAGGAGTATTTACCTGACATGTTTAGTATATGCAGGAGTATATACCAGACAGTTTGTATATATACAAGAGTATTTACCTGACAGTTTGAGTATATACAGGAGTATTTACCTGACAGGTTTAGTATATACAGGAGTATTTACCTGACAGGTTTAGTATATACAGGAGTATTTACCTGACAGTTGTGTGTATATACAGGAGTATTTACCTGACAGGTTTAGTATAAACAGGAGTATATACCAGACATTTTTGTGTATATACAGGAGTATGTACCTGACAGGTTTAGTATATACAGGAGTATATACCGGACAGTTTTGTGTATATTCAGGAGTATTTACCTGACAGTTTGTATATATACAATAGTATTTACCTGATAGTTTGAGTATATACAGGAGTATTTACCTGACAGTTTGAGTATGTACAGGAGTATTTACCTGACAGGTTGAGTATATACAGGAGTATTTACCTGACAGTTTGAGTATATACAGGAGTATTTACCTGACAGGTTTAGTATATACAGGAGTATTTACCTGACAGGTTGAGTATAGATAGGAGTATTTACCTGACAGGTTGAGTTTATACAGGAGTATTTACCTGACAGTTTGAGTATATACAGGAGTATTTACCTGACAGGTTGAGTATATACAGTAGTATTTACCTGACAAGTTGAATATATAGCGTTGTTACATGGGGGTCTCTGAATGTCGCACATATTTACACCAAGTACCACTTACCCTGCATGATCGTGGACTGTGTTGTTACAGGTACAGATAAGATACACAAATCCATGCTTTCAATTCATCAAGTGTTAAAATAGCCATTGCTAACGGTGATGCAAGGTCTCTAATTGGTTGTGTAATTTGGCAATGCTGTATGAGGATGCATTGTTTATGTAAGGGTTCAGTAGAACATTGTGTTTTAATAATAATCAGGAATGTATTAGTAGATAATGTAAGCAGTGGTGTGGAAGTTACTGTATGTTGATGATTTTGGGTTCGAGTACAATCTGGAATATTCTAGAACAGCCATAGATGAACTAGAAATGGTATGGAACTTTCTAGAAGGTATTTAGAGCCTATAAGTGGGAAATAACATGCCTCTCTCATCTCACATTACAACAAGTCCAGCGGTTGTGTGAAAATACTATTTTCACCATGGATATTCAGCCTGGGCCTATTTTGGAAGCTTGACCATTGTTGCTGCTTGGTGAATATTATTGATCTCTGACTTTATTGTTATTACCTTTGCTATGAATTTGATATTTTTGTACTGCCATTGAAATTTGTACTATCACCATATTGTGTATTGTTATTTTATTTTTTTTCAATAATTTTTCATAGATTTGTAAACCTAGTATTTTTTCCTATACATTTTTTTAATGTCATATGTCGTTGTTATTTGCAGGCGTACGCATTTCTGGTTGAACTTATTGTTATAATCTGGAATTTAGACACTAAACAGTGGTTATGTTGAAACACTCGATAGGGCAGGTGCAGACAGGAAACACAATTTATGTAAGCCAGTAACCCCTATGATGAGATGATAAAGTAAACCCTATGTTGACATGCCCAGTAACCTTCTGTTGAATTGTCATGCCCAGTAAGCCCTATTGCACATGCCAAGTAAACCCTATGTTGACACGCCCTGTAACCTTCTGTTCATCATGTCTATAAATATCACTTCAATCCATTGGCTGTTGATATAGCAAAGCAAGCAGCTTTGTTAGACACTCTTCTCCCGGATGGGCCTCAACCCCCAAAGTGACTGGAATTTTTACCTTACTAAGGAAGCGTTATCCCAAGAAGACCATTTGCTACATTTGACCACTTTCCAACATGCATTGTTCACTCGTCAAGCCGAAGACCCGGGTTCGATTCCCGTCATTGGTACGATGTGTGAAGCCCAGTACTGGTGTCCCCTGCCGCGATATTGCTGGAATATTGCTAAAAGCGGCGTAAAACCATACTCACTCACTCATTCAACATGCGTATTCATAAGCTTCTCTCATGTCAGAAGAATAGTAGGAAATTTGATGAGGTCTGGTTGTGAAATGTTTCTGACTCTTTGACCTTTCCATTCGAATGATTCTCAGACCTACGTTACACTTCTGCATTTGGGATATTTTTAGGAAAGTTTCAGAACGATTTTTCTTTCAATCAAACATTTTCTAAGACGTGTATGAAAGATAAACTTTTGTCTCAAACTTTAAATTGTATTTCTTGTACTGAAATTTGTTTTAGCTTTAACCAGCCATAAATTGTCCATGTTAAATATAAAACTGCAACAAATCTAAAATAATGATAACACTCCTTCACTGGGCTGACCCACATCGTGACCAGGTCCCCCAAAGCAGCTTAACATTGACAACAATAGGTGAAAGATAACAAATACACACAGGCTCATGAATATTCACAGAGCACCTTGCTTATGAAATAGACAGGTTCTGACAAAAAAGATACCAGACTTAATGGTCTTATAAACGTGAATGTGTAAAGTGTGTGAGTGTCTGTACTTACCCTTTGCTGTATTCCCTGAAAGTCCCTTTGGATGTCTTTGGTCAGCTGAACTCGTAATTTGCTAAGACTCTCTTTGTAAGAGTCTCTTTCAAGTTTAACTTGTCTGAACTTTCGTCTAACTGAGCGAAGTTGCGTTTTTGTGTTGTGTACTCTGGTTTTCAGGCTGTTAACTACATCAAGAACACGCCCGCTGATAATATTCCCAATGTATTCTTCTTTTAGGATGTCAGTAATCGCTTGCTTCACTAGAGGCTTTACCAAGGCAGGGATGAACGTGTTAGTCAGTTCTTCTTTCAGCAAGTCAAAGTTGTTACTCATTTCAGTCCCCAAATCAGCAACTGTGCTTTTCCACGCCTGGATCGTTGTGTCCAGCAGGTTTAATTTTCTAGAGAAGGCTGCCAAATTTGTATCAGCATGTACGTCTCTCACACCACACAACGACACAAGAATGATGAATACAACTCTCGTAAGTTCCATCGTGTAGGGATGATGCACAGCTCGCCGCAGTTAGGAGCAAACTGCGTTGGTGCTGGATATACATCGAAGCTAGCCTGACTCACGTGTTGACAAAAAGCCAACAGAATGCTCTGACAGAAAATTCCTGTGCGTACATGTGGCCCACAGCAGCAAATAAGGTGGGCAACTTCATCAGAGTATCGTGTTTCATACCAAGTATGTTGCCACAATAGTCTCGTGTTTAGAGTAGTATTACTATTGAAGTAACTTGAAAAATATTAGATTTCTTGTATACTCTAACCTGATCCAATCCCTTAACATTAATAATGTGCGTAAATTACTTCTCTTTGTCTCACCCTGTGGAACTTACTTATTACCATCCCTGACACCAAGTTCTATATGTCCAATGTACAACATGTACCTTTGATCCACCCGTAGCAGACAACCAGGCATCTATGCCACATGCAGTCTCACATATGCCTTTCTCCCCCACCCCTAAGAATCCCCCTCCCTCTTTTTGTTTCTAAACAAAGACATTTGGCTACATGTTCGTTTGATAAGGCTAATACACATGTTGATTCCTTGTGATTGAAGTTACAGATCACAAACCAATCAAATTGGTATATCCAGATCTGTTCATAGCCATTGTGGGGAGGTTAAACGGTGACACGTTTGCTCAGTGGAGCTCCTCAGGTGAAATGTGCCGGGACAAAAATCAAGTTTAGTCTGGTGGAATGGGTGAGGGCTCTGAACTATTGCTGGGACAAAAACGTTTTACCAGAAAGGATGACAAATCAACTACTGTTCACACGAAAACATATTTATTCACTTTTGCCCGTTGACCTGTTCCAAATTAAATTAAAGCTGGTTATGTCAACATCGGAGTGAAGGTGTATGTCCCGGATACACTTCGATGCTTTAAATGTAAACAAGTGGACATGGTTCGAAAACCTGCACACATCCCATGGTTTGTCATCGTTATGGTGACAACCATGAAAGTGCAGATTGTCCTCAAGATTTGAAATGTTCAAACTGTGATGGGCAACACATGGCCACTTCCAAATTCTGCCCTGTTTATCAAACAGAAATCAAATTATGTCTCCTCAACCGCTTTAATGCTCATGTTTACATGAGAGATTACCATTTGATCCATCATGGCTAAAGCATCAAATATAATACAATTGAACTGTCGAGGCCTTAGGGATAAGATTAATACTTGGGAAACAAGCGGCAGTGATGAAGCTATAGCTGCTGTATTCTGAAAGGAAACGCAGACGAACAGACAGTATTAGAAGCGATGCAGTTATACACACGATAATTAAAGATATATATTACAGGTAGGTTGCAGAACATTAGTGCAATATACTGAGGCAATGGCCACACCATGACAAGTGTGCATGAATACAATATGTAATATTTACATTCAGTGTTTATATAGGCCTCTCGCTCCTACGGCCATTATTGTTGGGAGTGTATTTATATGTTTAACAACGAAAATAATGAAGATATTTGATAGCAGGGTTTATTTGCCTGGAAACTGTGCAGTTTGATAAATTAGAATTATACTTAAAGTTACGACACCGGCAATAGATGTTCATCTTCTTACACAAACCATAGGGTAGACTTTGAATTTATATAATAACATGACATTTTTGTACATCTAACACATCCGACAAAGTCTAGATGTTTTTTTCTTATGATATTAAAATTTGTTTAATTATCTCAAGAAGTGGGCCTCACACCTGGTGAGATAAGGGCGGGTTGCGCTATCTCCAACCACAGCCTTGGAATCTGGTGATGGAGACTAGCCGCAAGTCTATGCAACCAAAATCTCGCGATCACACTTGCTTCACGCTTACCGGCACTTCTCAGTGGCTCCCCGCACACATCACATAGCAGCCTTCCCTTACTTACAGATCGCTATGCGGGAAACGTGGACCCAGATTCGTGTTGAAAGGAAAAAAACTTTTTCAACAGCCTGATCAACTTACGTTTCAGACTACAGCAGTGCACTAAACGTCAGGGAGGTAACTCTTATAGAGAAGTATGATTCGTGGTTACATAAAACACGCAGACTCACACATATGGTGCAAACATTATTATGTGCCAAGAAAACAGTTTGTATACCATTCCATTCTGAAAACACTTTAAACATATATCATGTATACCACTACGATTATGTCAACCTAATACCTATTGTGTCCTGAAAACAATAGCAGGTGAGGAGAAATTGGGTTTAACGTCGCGTCCAAGATTATTGCATTTACATACAGCGACATGCATGCACATGTGTGTGTGTGTGTGTGTGTGTGTGTGTGTGTGTGTGCTAGTGCTAACTCACGAAGATACCGCGCCGTAGTTAAACATGAATACCCCACTAAGATACAATATACTGACTCCGAGTCGACCAGTCTTTGTTTTAGCCCCTTAATGCCGAGCGCCAGACAGGGTAACAACAAGTACCACCTTTAAACGTCTTTTGGTATGACGCGGTCGGGGATCGAACCCCGGACCTTCTGCTCTCCGGGCGGATGCTGTAATTTAGGACCACAGAGGCTGTTAAAACAATAGCAAATGTTTTAGGAAGTCATTGCCGGAAAACGCATCACTAGTTTTGCTTTGAATTTCTGTTTTTTTCTGTCTCTACTTATTATTACCTAAATATTTAAACTCATGCCATGTTCTCATATCCTGATTCTGAGTTTACATTTTGGTTTACCTTCTGGGATACATATGTGCGCTTTCTGACAGTACAGGTACTTACATGGCATCAGTAGGTATGTATCTACAAAATATCTTTGCCCCGTGTTGATCTTCTGGCGAAGACATAATTGACATCAGTTGCGACTTTTGCGCGCCTTTGGACATCCTCTTTGGTGAGCATACGATATGCAGTTATCCGGTGCTAAAAAGTCCTTCAAAAGTAAAATTATATTTATGTATAGGATATGCGATTCCTAAATTGTTATCTTCATGTAATTTACATATTCGACATCGGAATGTAAGATAAATAAAAGTCAACATAGTCCAACATAATTCTGTTTTTCAACTCACACATCCTTATTGTGCTATGTGTTCCTATGATTCTGATTATTATTACATTTGACAAATAAGAACTAATACATGCAGCAAAGAGGGTTTGGGTCATCCCGGTACAGCCGGACTCATGTGACATTAGCGGAGGGCCCCTGTCACCTCGACACGCATCCCCGACAGCAGATGAGACGAGCCCACCAAGAACTTCCAGGAATGTTGTCTGAGTGGCTCTGTGTCTTTGGCGCTACAGCTGATACATCGGCAGTCTATTTTTAGATCCACATTTCCTGCAGATAGGGTAGTTAGGGCATGCGTGGGAGGGGTGTTCCAATTGGTGGCAGTGTGTGCATTGGCGGTTGTTTTTCTCTCATTGGGTGGACTTAATATTTGATGGCGCCGAAGGCGATAGATGTAGGAATGGCTGTTCATGGAAATGTAAGGAAGATTGTTAGTGTTGTTTGTCTGTTGTGAATTTGCGTTTTCGAGTTGGTGTTTTGGAAGTCTGTCTATTGGTGTTGTGTGTATTCCGTTGGTGAGGTGAGGGGACATGGTGTTTAACGTCGCGGCAAAGAATATTGCACTAATACAGCGACTGCAGTACGTGTAGGTGGTTGTGTGGCCACTGATGCCGATTTATAGTGCTAGCTCACTGAGATACCATGCCGCAGTTTAACATTAATACCCCACTCGGACACAGTATACTGACTCCGAGTCGACCAGTCCTTGTTTTATGCCGAGGCGGTCCGTGTATTCCGTTGTGTGTTGTGTTGTGTTGTGTTGTGTCATTAGTCTATGTGTGACCTCTTGCTGTGCTGTGTGCTATGTTCTGTGCTGTGTGCACGTTACTTGCTGAAGATAAATATGTGCATCATGTTCAGTGTTCTGTACTGTGTCCTGTGCTGTTCGCTGTGTCATTAGCTGTGTGCTGTTCTTTTCTCTGTTCTGTGTTCTGTGTTATGTACTGTGTTATGTGTTCTATGTTGTGTGATGTGATCTGAGCTGTGTGCTGTTCTGTATTCTGTGTTAATGTTCTGTGCTGTGTTCCGTGCTGTGTGATGTGATCTGAGCTGTGTGCTGTTCTGTGTTCTGTGTTCAGTGTTCCGTGCTGTGTGCTGTGCTGTGTGATGTGATCTGAGTTGTGTGAAGTTCTGTGTTCTGTGTTCAGTGTTCCGTGCTGTGTGCTGTTAGATGTGCCGTGTTCCATGCTGTGTGATGTGTTATGTGTTGTGTGCTGTGTTCTGTGCTTTGTTCATAATTTTGTGCTGTGTGCTGTGTTCCGTGCTGTGTGATGAGTTCTGTGCTGCGTTCTGTGTTCTGTGTGTTGTATCATGTGCTGCTTGCTATGTTCTGTGTTCTGTGTGCTTCGTGTTATGTGTCATGTTCTGTGTTCTGCGTTGTGTTATGTGTTCTGTTTTTCCATGTGTTGTTTGCAGTGTGAAGTAATCTGCGTGCTGTGTGCTGTGTGCTGAAGCCATGCATGCCACGCGCACAATGTGTATTTGTTTTCTACATAAACGATGGTATGCTAACCAGCTACATAATTTTGATGAAGAAGGAGTGTTATAGAAACCATATGACAATGTTATATGTGATAGCGTCGAGCACGCGAGTGTGCACGTTCCTTGTGGAAAATAAATATGTGCATCTATTTAACGTTACTGATGACTCCAGGCATTTAGGTCAACATTGGATTTGAAGTTAGCATTGTGATCTGGAATCGGGAAAAGGATTGAGTCGCCTAGAGCGTTTTCCTACATAGGAAGAATGTGTGCAGCATTTTTCTGTAGTCTCCGAAGTGATTTACTCACTCACTCACTCACTCACTCACGCACTCACGCACGCACGCACGCACGCACGCACGCACGCACGCACTCACTCACTCACTCACTCACTCACTCACTCACTCACTCACTCACTCACTCACTCACTCACCCACCCATCCACCCACCCACTCAATCACTCACTCTCACTCACTCACTCACTCACTTATTCTCTCACTCACTCACTCACTCACTCACTCACTCACTCACTCA